GAGGAACGGGGCTCCCTCCTCCCTACTGTCAGGGTCTGGTTTGAAGGCCGGCTATGGCCCCTGTTGGGCCAGACCCAGAGTTCTACCACGCTGTGGCCTCTGCCTCAGCAACCCAGGACTGACTGCCGCTGGGTGCTCCTGGCACTCCAACGGTGGGTTCTTTTCTCAGGCCTCATGGAAAACAGCTCGGGGAGGGTGCACTCCTTGTCAAGGTGACCCAGGACTCAGTGCCTCTGAGCTCCGAGGGCCGGTTCCTGCCTCAAACCTCGCCCTCAGGGGAAACAGCTTGGGGAGGGCACAGCCCTTGGCAAGGCAACCCAGGACTCAGTGCATCCACGCTCTGAGGGCCGGTTCTTGCCTCAAACCTTGCCCTCATGAGAAACAGCTCAGGGGAGGGCGCAGCCGTCGCCAAGGCGACCCCTGCAGGACTGACTTCCTTCCAGTTGGTTGAGCCTTGGATGTGATGGGCGAACACCCAGGGTTTTTATATAAATAGACGCTAATAATAGTAGGTACCTAATCATATCATTCCTAATACTGAAACATCCTTGCAATACTAAAAAAATCCTACACTCGGACAAAGTACCGTATTTGCCGGCGTATAAGACGATTTTTTGGCCCTGAAAAATATGCCTCCAAGTGGGGGGTCGTCTTATACGCCAGGTACACTTCAGATAGACTGCCCATAGTGCTTGCCCCGTGCCATAGTGGCCTCCCGATGCCCGCCCACTTCATTCCACATACCGTTCAGGCAGCAGCAGCGATACCATACTGGGTGTATGGTTGGCCGTGTGCGATTTTGCGAGTGTGGTAAATTCGGGTTACCGTATATTTCTTTACATATGCATTGAAGATTCGCGATTTTGCACTATCATGGTGCCTGTTAGAATGTTGAAGAGCTCGCACTTGCACACTAGTGAGGTCCCAGGGAGATGCTGATGCAAGGGTGGACCAGACTGCTATAGTGACAGGGCGGGCAAACAGGGAGCAGGGACCAATCAAATCAGGCTTTGTATACAGCCAACAGCCAACCACAATACTGCCCCATTGTACAGTACAGCAGAGAAAATGTCGACCAGTCAAACCCCTATCATCCCTATCATGGCACCAAGATGTCGTTGATGAACTTTTAATATCAGATGATGAGGAGGAGTTTGAAGGCTTTTAAGGTGAAACTGTCACGCCAGCAAACTTGCTAGGGACTTGCCCGGCACTTGCTCTCTCCCTCTATTTGTTATCTTACTTCTATCATTGACAGTCCCTCTAGGTTGTGGGCTGCTTGCCTGTGTTCCTGAGAAGCATCTACGGTACCAGTCTATAGAGTGTGTTTTCTTTAGTGAATTCCCGGTATGTTTACCGGTAATAAACTTGCACTGTTTTATGTATATGTTTGATTACATACAGCCTTGTGACAGTTTTCCTGCATGTCATAAGCATTTGAATATAAATTAAAATGTTAAAATCAAATCTGATATTGTTTTACCTTTTATTTGGTGTGTGGAAGGTGTGCGGAAGAGGGGGTAGTCTTATACGGCGAGTATATAACAAACTCTGTATTTTGAGTGGAAATGTTAGGGGGTCGTCTTATACGCCCAGTCGTGTTATACGCCGGCAAATACGGTATATATTTCTTCTGATGCACTCTGGATTCCATTTCAATATTTTATTTAGCTTTCTTTTTTCCTAAACTTTCTTGAGAGATATTGGTCTACTGTTTACTTTTGGGGGGGGCATCCCAACATTTAGTGTGTTTTAGTTTCATTGTTACATGGCCTTGAAAAAAAGAATTTGGAAGATTTTGTTATGAAAAAAAAATCAATAAAAATCCAATGTAAACAAGTAAAAACAGTTATTATAGTTTAGTTAATTTATTAAACAGGATTTTGTATGTTGATACAATACACTTAATTTCTAAAGGAGAAACAAATACCAAGTCTAAACTCCCAACTTAGAATAAAATTTCTATTTAGGCTTTACTGGATTCTGTCTCTACTCTAAGATTCCTTAGTAAAATTTACTTAACTAAAACGTTTTAAACAGCTATTTCCAGCCTTCATTTTTTCTCATTTAAAAGAGTTTTAATTTTTATAGAGACTCTACCCAATGTGTATACAGCAAAATATAGGTCACTGTCAAGAATGAAAGCAAAAAGCCTATGTTCTATGTTTTAACACCTTTCCCTGGTTCACTAAAGCTTTCTAATTCATACCCAAATTAGACAAGAAGTTAGCACATTTTAATAAAAATGTATAAGCATTATAAGTTAAAAACTGATCCCAAAGTTTGAGCCCAGGCTTGTTTTGAAGAGGAAAACTAGACTTTCCTTATACAGAAATGTGGAAAGAATGTACCTGATCATGATCAACCTCTACAGGCTGCTTCTTAATGATCCAGGTGACGGACTCGGAGAGTGGTGGAGTAGTCAGGGATCCTGAGTAGGTCCAGTAATCCGGGCAGGTGGGCATCAGGCAGGAAGGGTCGAATGACCCAAATTCCACTATGGTGTCCTGGCCAAGAGAAAGGGGCACAA